TACTTGAAGTGACTGACAGACCCAGACAAAAAATATTGGATTATTCATTAATAAATACACAAAATATGGCCCAATGTGTTAGGTCTTGGTTCAATGCAATCCTTGTAACCAGCCCGGCCCTTGGCTTGTAGCATTTGTTTTTTTTGGCCTCTGATGTATTTGACTTTGACATCCCTGATCTAAAGCTGCTGATCAATGCACTTCACCTTCAAGTGAGATTTGAGTTTTGGTCCATCAAAGCTGCATTTTGTGTTGTCATGGTGTGTTTTTCTTAAATTGTGGATCATTTGGGGAATTATGTGTGTTGTTATTGTAGTTATAAGTAATCTTATAGTCATTGTAGTGATAATAAATCAAAATTATCACACTAAAAAGTTGAACTAAATCCTCTGGTGTGGGGCTGGCGTGACAGGGACAAAAATCAACATTTGTTTGGATCTGAAGGGGGCCATGGCGTTTGTGGACATTCAGCTTTTCCTTCACTTAAAGACCTTATGACGGGTTTGATTTATTTAGAAATACAGTTTTAATACCTTTTTATATTAGAAGAGAACTACTAAAGGTTTCAAAATCAGTTGTTGTTTTTTTTGTCTGATCCCCCCAAATCGAAATAACCCCATAGCAACGCCCTTAGAGACGGAAAAAACTTCACAGCCCTTGGTGACGTCAGAGTGGGTACGTTTCAACGCTGTAAGTTGTTTACAATTTGGTATTCGTTCTTTTTTCGCGGATATTCAAGATGACAAGGCCGTGTACAGCGAGTCTGACATAAATACTAGATTGTAACATTTTGTTGGCACTGAGATAGTCCAGTGGTTGTGTCGATGGACTATTGATCCAGATACTGGGGTTCAAATCCCACCTCAGACACTTTTTCACACTCAAACGGCAATTTATGTGTAGTGAGCAATTGTCACCTGTAGAGGGCAGTATTGTGTTGGGCATCAGTGGAGAGAAGAGAGAAAAGGCAGTCCTGTGGCATAGATCCATGGTTTTCAATGCATGGGCGTTACCCGCTATGACGTCACACACAGGTTAGAGCATAGACAACTTAAATTCATGAAAAACACGTTCTTTTTATAAAATATAGGATTTTTTTTGCCGGAATCTCTTTCAGATTGACATTGTCATGCAATTTTGATATCCACATTTTTTTTTTTTTAAACCCGGCATAAGGTCTTTAAGTCTGTTGGGAGATTTCTGCTCGACTAATATTTTAATGTAATTTCATCACTTGTATGGCTTAATTATAATAAATGCACCGCTCCAATGTGCAAAGGACTTGTAATTCATCAACTAAGCTATTACCTGATCGTTTATATTTTAAGGTCATCTTTACAGAAGTATTGTGCTTTAAAAACATCTAATTTTAGGCCAATCCTATCAATTACATGCAATCATCAAAGTGGGCTTCTAACGACAACAACTCAAGCAATGTCATTTTTATATATAGAGTTTCTCATTGGGCTGCATTTTTTATCTCAATTTTCATTTCCTTCAATCATTTCAGTCCACTGCATCCAACCCTGTATTTACCACATTTACATAACCGGTCCAGTTTCACATTTCCAAAAAAAAAAAAAAAAACGGGTTTTGTAATAAATACTCAACTTTTTTTTCTTTTAATAATTTCCTTAATATTAAAAGTAACAGCAAAGCCTCTAACACATTCTTTGATAAGGGAGGAGGTAGCCAAGGCACAGGGAGAGGTTCTGCGGACACTCCGAGTTCTCCCTCCTCCTTTCTCTTGGCATTGCTGTCTCTGTCGATCGGGGGAAGCCAAACGGCGCAGATGCAACGGAATGAGAAATGTACAGCCTTATAGCATGGGCCTTCAAAGCCACTTCCTCTGCCTCGCCCCGCTCTTCTCATCTTTTTCACCCCAACAAGTGATGAAGCACAAAACAAGACGCGAAAAGTCGGGAACAAAAGCGTACGAGACCAAAGCTGCCTTACCAACTATTTTTTTTTTCTACTTGGAAAGAAACCCAAACATCTTTACAAGTTCTGTACAAGAAAAAAAAAACAAATTTTCAGTGCAGTGCTTCAAACTCTTTCCAGTCGATTTTGTGATAGATATGCAACTTGACTACATAAACTGAAACTGGGGGATGGTAAAAAAAAAAAACATAAACGTCAGAAGCTTTGGTCAGCGCCCTGTATGGAGTTGTACCCTGTTTAAAATCACATATTCAAGTATCAAAGCTCATACAGTACGTTTTGTATGACATGGCGTGGTTCAAAAAACAAATCGTAAAACGTGTTTGATAAGCAATGCTGAGCCGATCCACTGCATTTCTAGTCATCTATACGTTTCTGACCAGCCATAACATTATGACCACTATGTGCACTGCAAAACGGGATGAAACATAAGTCAAAAATGGCTCAAATTTGGCAAAATGCATGTTAATTTCCCATTCTGACTGAGCCTTAAAACAAGATTTGCCAATGGGACAAAGCAAAATGACCTTAACTTAAAAAAGAAAGACTAAATGGCTTTGTCCCGTTGGAAAATTGTGCTTGACAAATTGACAGTCAGAATGAACTCCAGTTAAGAAAAAAACTTTATTATAGCAATATTTTCCCCATATTTTATCATTTTTTGCAGTGCAGAGATTATTGTTATTTCTGTACCGATTACTAGCAGTCTACCAGTCAGCTAGTGCATCATTGTTAGTTATTATGTATCTAATTGCAACGGAACAAACGTGAATTTTGTCTACAAATTGTGCTTTCGCTGTCACTTACGAGACACAGTAGCATAAGGCAATCTGTCTCGGCAGGCTCGACTGTCAAATTAAGTACAAGAAGCAAGCTAACATCTCATAGTAACTTTTCTATAGACATGATCATAGTATGTACAACTGGACACGTTTTAAAATTGCACGATACCGTTTCATTTATTTACATCGCCATCTATGTATTTACAACTTTACACAATTCACGCCACGCAGAGATGAAGGAGCTCACAATGGTCACAATGTTTTGGCTGTTTTGGATGCGACCCCTGTATCGCAAAATCCGCATTTCTCTCGGCTGCCAAGCGAAAGGGAGGCGTTTATTGAGGCCGCATTTACCGACTAAACACTTTACAATGAAATGGCTTTTTGTTCCTGATGAGACGAGGCTTGTATTTGAACAAAACATCCGCTAATGGGAAGCACTGATATGGAAGAACTTAAATCTATATACGGAGGCATCGCTGTCTGCTCGGAGAAATGCATTTGTCATTTTCTCTCACTCTGTAAAAAGCCTGTTAAGTAAAAAACAAAAACATGAGACCGGCGAATCTGCACTGCATCAACTGCCTGTCTTTCAGCGTATTATTGTATATTGTACCCATTTACACCCAAGAGCAAGGAATGTGTCCCAATAAACCACAATGAAGCACTGCAAATGGCGTTTTAAAGCAGCACATACCCAAAAGGAAGCAAAAAACATTGAAACATATTACTTTTTCTTCTGATAAAAGCACGAAACAGAAAGAAGAGAAAGGCCTTTGACTGGTACAAAACACTCACAAAAATCGAGCTACAGTTTCTTTTACTTACACCACATTCACATTTGAGAAACCTTGAGCCTGCGGTACCACCTTCACTTGGTAAAAATACAATATCAACGGCGCTCCGGAAAGTGCCCTTCATTTTCGGAATGCCGAGGAAAAAAAGTCTGCTGCAAAATAACACGGATGGTCCTGGATAATAGATTTCTCTGCCAGAGTTAAGCCTTGAAACTCAACTCCGGCTTTTCAAAGTTAAAAATTTAAAATGTACGTGTTTGGTTACTGAAAACAGTGTGTGCCAGACAATGGGGAGATCTGGTTATACCATAATTGAGTTGATAGTGTCTCAAAGTTAGTAATTTTACATTTAGGATAGATATCTCGAATCTCGAAACTATTTCTTCAGCTCCAGTACGTCAATATCATCGGTGAGACCAGAGCGTCTGATTGCGATAATCTCAAAATAATTTTCAAGCTTGTAGCTCTCAGGACATTGTTAAAAGTAACCTAACATTTGTATGAACTGGTGGAACCAATCACTTCCTTTGTTATGAAATATAGAAGCTGTCTGTAATATATATAGAGATTTGCCTATTTTATACTCTTCACTTTCAGTCACTAAGCATGACAACAATTCATAGCACATTGTATCTAATGAAAAAAAAAAAACTTTCCTTTGCACTAAACAACATTCAAAGTAAAACATGGCACAGGACGACTTTTTCCTTGTGTTTTTCATAATTATCAAATCCTCAATCTTTTATACATTAAAATGGAAAACAATTTTTTTCTTCATTCATTTGAAAAAGTTTCTATTTATATATCTATATAGAGATTCATATATCCTCTTCTCTTTTGATTCAGCTTTGTTGTGCAAATTCAGCAGTTAACACAAGTGGCACAGCACTGAGGATAGCAGGAATAGAAAAAAAAGATCCCAATTGTCGGACTATGGGCGTGTTTTTTTTTTTTTTTTTTCAAAATAAATTCCCTGAATAGTCCTTTTTGCCTGTGTCCACCTGCTGAAGTGTCTTGAAGAAATTGAACTGAATCTTTACCATGGCTGTATCTCGGGTAGCCACCGTAGAAGGACAGATCCTGTGTTGTTCTGGGCTTATCGTCCCAAAGAAGCATTTTGCAGTTTTACAGTATTTGCAAAGTTTTGGTCACTACTGCGGTGAACCAGTCTCGCCTGATTGGCCGAAGAAGCAAACTGGTGCTTTCGCCTTAGGTCCGTATCCACTGAGGCTGTAGGGCAGGATTGATTTGGTTGTGTATCGGGCCTGGCTTGGCAGTTCACGAGAGGAAACAAAGAAAGCTAATCCCTGTACGTCTCAAACTCCACGGTCCCTCTGGTGTGCTGCTCCATAGTTTTGTCGTGAGGGGGAACGTTAAAGGTTTAAATAGTCACTTTTGCCACAGGATCGTCAGGAAAGGCGTGTTGATTGGCCAGTTTGGAGCTGGCTTGTGGCAGAGGGAGACCGTGATTGGCTGGTTCTCAGCTGGTCATGGACATGGTGTCGATGACCTGCTCGAGTTTGCCACGTAGCCTCTGTCTGCGCGACTGTTCGTCCTTCTGTAACGCTGTCAAAATCTGCAAAACAGGGACAAAAAAAGCAACTTTAATAAATTGACATTTCCAGACTTCTCACTGGTTTTAACAGAAGGGAACACATCACCCCTGTTTTTACATAACTCCGCTAATTCCCTGTGCGTTTTAGAATTGATTTTAAGATTTTACTGATTACTTTTAAAGCTTGTTTAGGTCTGGCACCCAGCTATATTTATGAACTTTTAACCCCCTACGAGCCCTTCCCTCTCAGCCTTAGACCCTCGGGCAGGTCCCTGTTGACTGTTCCAAGGTCGAGGCTCCGGAAGAAAGATGACCGAGCCTTTTCTGTCCGGGCTCCTCGACTTTGGCACGACCTGCCCGAGGAGATAAGGCTCCTCTTAACACTTCATAAATCCCATTTTAATCAAACAGCTTTTAACTTTTAGTTTTAAACTTCACTTTGTATTTTACTGTTCCACATTGTCTTTAACTGTTTTATTGACTGTTTTTGACTATTTTATGCTTACTGCAACGTCAAAAACTGCTATACAACAAAAGATGTATCATTATTATTATTATTACAGTTCACCAAAGGCAGCCGCAGACAGAGAAGAGAACTCAGAACACAGAAATGCCTTTTGGGAGACCTGCGAGTCTGCCAAAATCATGCTTTTGATGCTACGAGAATATAGCAGGAAAGCAATCATTGTCCAAAGTAAAGCTTGCAGAGCTAGTCGGGCCGGCAGACTTAGGTCCTATATTGAATGCTAACGGCGTTTACATTGTGACATGTGCTATTATGTGTGGCACAGAGGAGTGGGAGGAGGAGCCGGGGCACAGGGAACGCCGTACTCTGTATTTATGTGCGTTTTTGTCTTTCTGCCAGTGCATTATAAACCTGTCTGTGGCCGTGTTTGTGTAAGAGGTCAGGGCAGGCCTACATCTGGATAATAGGCTGTAATGACGGGGGGCAGTTTGCTTTCAATGGTGCCAGCTGCATCCAGGCCGTGTAACTACAGTCAGATTGTGGGCACGTGGCGATACAAGCAGGAAGGATGGGAGGATAAAGGCTGTGAGAGAGTACTTTGGAAGCCATGAATGCACAGTGAGAATGGGATGGTTTGTACAAAGCACACATATGGCGGCCCATCAGGGAACCTACAGTCGTGCTCAGGGCTGGACAGATTTCAACAGTAATTTAGAATTGGCACGTGAAGGATTCATTTTTTAAGTGCTATGATGCAGGCTATTGAAGACTGTTCACTTCAGGATGGGTGAGGAGCTCAGTCACACGGGAGGAGCTCGGAGTAGAGCCGCTGCTACTCCACGTCGAGAGGAACCAGTTGAGGTGGCTCGGGCATCTGTTCCGGATGCTTCCTGGACACCTCCCTGGGGAGGTGTTCTGGGCACGTCCCACCGGGAGGAGGCCCCGGGGAAGACCTAGGACACGCTGGAGGGACTATGTCTCTCAGCTGGCCTGGGAACGCCTTGGAGTCCCCCCGGACGAGCTGGAGGAAGTGTGTGTGGATAGGGAAGTCTGGGCGTCTCTGCTTAGACTGCTGCCCCCGCGACCCGGCAACGGATGAAGCGGAAGAAAATGGATGGATGGATGGAAGTTCATATTTTTTGGTTGGCAATACGTACCAAATAACGTTCATTACGTACTGTAATACGTAATGTAGCGTCCTATCATCATAGGATGCTACATTATCAAACACATCATCAATACTTTTAAGTAATTATTTTGTAGCGTGGTGGTCCATTAATGACAAACAAATACAAAGCAGTGATGCTACCCAGAATGCATTGCAGAGCAAAATATAAAATCCTTTTGAAAATGTCTACATTTGATAGTGAAAATGAACCAGGTCCAAGTGGAAATAATTAATCAAAATGTTGAATAAAATCATTAGACCAAATAAATCAATCACTTCAAAGTAATAGTTTTGCATTCTGTCCATATTTAATTTCATATTTATATTACTTACAAAGAGATGAAGTTGAAGTTTTTGTTGTTAAACAAAAAGGCCCATCTGTGATTTGAAGCCAACATCATGATTAGACGCTTTATTTGATGTCATCATTTTGGCTGATATTAACCCTTTTTAATCACACAGTTTAAGATATATTCATTAAAGGTTATTCTGCAGTTACTTAAAAATGGAGCTTTCGCGCAAGTTCACCGTGGTAGACCCGGCTGCTGCTGCCCAGCTCTACAGGCCTGCTCTCATCCTCGGCTCATCGTACCAGCAACGCCCACATCCAGTCAACCAATAACCGCCAGGACAGCAAGTTAAAAGCCGGAGACGCCCACTTCCCGGCCTTCTCAAGTCTGCAAGCCTCCGCCGTCCCACCTCCTCCTTCTCTCATTGAAGCGTGCTTGCCTGCTGCCTCTGTCGCCACCAGTGCCTAGGCCCTGGGGGGGATTATGCGCGCGAGCAAGCGCCGTTTTCAACAGCATCGCTCCTGGGCCTAGGGCGCCAAACATGCTTAAATCAAATAAAACTTCTAACTGCATTCCCCCTTGTGGGTCTCTCCAAGGTGAAATAACATTTGACCCATTTTGTAATAATTCACCAGATAAATGTCCATCAGCATCTCTCTGCTCTTTACAGATACAACTGCAGCCGTAAATAGCTTAGATCTCATGTTTAATCAGAGCGTAGTGACTGGCTCATTCCTTACGCCGCTACAACAGAACTCACATCGGTTAAACGCAGCTCCATTAGCCCTGTAATGTGCTGAGCTCATGCCTTAATGTGCATTCTAATGGCGATAATAGCTCACCCTGGACGCGACTATGGATGTGCCGCGCTTATCAGAGTAATTGAATTCAAATGACCGCATGGTATTAGTCAGGAGGGGTAAAGAGGAGGATGACACTGATGATTAGGATACGGGAGAAAGTGTTTGAAGGTATAGATAGACGGACTCACCTCGTCCTTGTATTTGACGATGTAGGAGTAAATCTCGTGCAGCGCGGACATACTGTTGAACTGGCTCAGGTGCAGGCGGGACTGCTCGGCCAGGTACGCGCTCATGTCCTGGTCGCTGATGGCGGGCATTCGAGAGATGTCCGAGTAGTACCTAGAACAAACGTGGACAATGCATGTTTAAAAGGAGGAACATGTAAAGAAGTGGTGCTGCATTCTCTCTGACTCAGGTTGCCAGATATGCAGATGAATCCAGCTGTATAGAATAGAATAGAGTAATAGAGTAGAATGACTGAATAGACAAGAGTTTGGCCAACAACAACTCTATAACCAACACCATTTCCTTGTTGTATTCCTTGTATTGTCGTTAAAGATTTGAGAATCATAACAAGACCTTTTTTTTAGTTCTGCGGCTACATGGTACTTTACCAGTGAGATTACCTCGACGCTGTGAGTTCTGGCAACCCGGATTACAAACTTTCTGATTGGTAAAACAGTGGAGGGCGGGATCACAAGATTTAGGGGCTGTAAAACTAATTTTGGAATTCAAATATCTCTGAACTACTGTTATCAAAAAGAGCAGGTTTTATCAATGCCTTTGGACAGATTAAGGCCCTTTCATGATGACTTGACATAAACATCTTACATATTGCTAATATAAAGCAATATGTAACAGATTGTAAGTCACTCCGGTGCTTTGACAGCGTGGTGTGAGATTGGTCTCAGTAAAAGAAAAAAAAAGTGTAGATTCATAGTAAATAAACGATTGTGAAGCAGTATTTACATGTAACTTTACCAGCGAAAACTTGTTCTTCCAATTAGGACATAGAGGTGAGAAATGTCAACAAAATGGATAATCATGGCATTGTTTTGAAATCGTGCAAAATGTTTGTACTGAGTAAAAGAAAATATATAGAACAAATCAGCCACTAATTTATTTGTATCAACCTTTATTTAACTTTTCAAAACCCCTGCCTGGTAAAACAAAATTTATGTTAGATAGAACTCCAGTTATTATGACACTTGTGAATGTAAAATGTAAATGTAAACGTGCACTTTATTGTCCCTTTAGGTAATCCCAAATTTCCCTATGGGGCAACTGAGCTTGGAACCGAGGACCTTCTTGCTGTGAATATTGGGTTAATGTCAATCGCTTTCAATTACATGTGACTTTTTTCATGTCTGAGACGCAACATAGAATAAAAATCAGCTTAATTTTGCTTTGAATTCCTGTATTAGCTGCACTGTAAACTGTGGTATATAGTCATTGAGTTTAGACCATTTAAACTTTATCCTGTGCAGAAATAAGCAGTTCTATTGTAACGTCAAATCTAACTGGACTCGGGATATATTCACTTGCTAACCACCGCCATCAATACCTATTTTTACTGCGTGTTGGAGTCGCTTGGGGACAACTTCTACAGAATTCACCTCGTATAGCAGAGCTGACCCTACACTTTCAATGATTTCTCTGGAGTCGAAGCCAATAAAGACTTGAGGATATATGCAATAATTAACGCGTGTTCCACCACATTATCGACTGGAAGATGCTGGCCCCATCTTTTACCAGCCATATCCTCGCAGAGAGAGAGCCGCAGTATATTAGAACATATCCCACTATTGACTTGTACTGTGCCTGTTTGCAGGATCTATATCTGCAGAATCCAGCAGCAGGCTGTGGCCGAGGAGCTGGACAGGCCAAAAAATATATGAAACAGATACACTTTGTAACTGCAGCCAATTAACCCTCACCCATAAATCTGACTGTACAGCACCACACTAGTACACTGCTGCTGCTGCTGCTGCTGCTGCTGCTGCTGCTGCTGCTGCTGCTGCTGCTGCTGCTGCTACTGCTGCTGCTGCTGCTGCTGCTGCTGCTACTGCTGCTGCTGATGCTGCTGATGCTACTGCTGCTGCTGCTGCTGCTACTGCAGCTGCTGCTGCTGATGCTGCTACTGCTGCTGCTGCTGCTGCTGCTGCTGCTGCTGATGCTGCTGATGCTGCTGCTGCTGCTGCTGCTGCTGCTGCTGCTACTGCTGCTGCTGCTGATGCTGCTGCTGCTGCTGCTACTGCTGCTGCTGCTGCTGCTGCTGCTACTGCTGCTGCTACTGCTGCTGCTGCTGATGCTGCTGCTGCTGCTACTGCTGCTGCTGCTGCTGCTGCTGCTGCTGCTACTGCTGCTGCTGCTACTGCTGCTGCTGCTACTGCTGCTGCTGCTGCTGCTACTGCTGCTGCTCCTGCTGATGCTGCTGATGCTACTGCTGCTGCTGATGCTGCTGATGCTACTAATACTGCTGCTGCTGCTGCTGCTGCTACTGCAGCTGCTGCTGCTGATGCTGCTACTGCTGCTGCTGCTGCTGCTGCTGATGCTGCTGATGCTACTGCTGCTGCTGATGCTGCTGATGCTACTAATACTGCTGCTGCTGCTACTGCTACTACTGCTGCTGCTGCTGATGCTGCTACTGCTGCTGCTACTACTGCTTCATACTGCTACTGCTGCTGCTGCTGCTGCTGATGCTGCTGATGCTACTAATACTGCTGCTGCTACTGCTGCTGCTGCTACTACTGCTTCTGCTACTACTGCTGCTGCTGCTACTACTGCTGCTGCTGCTGCTGCTGCTGCTGCTACTACTGCTGCTGCTGCTGATGCTGCTACTGCTGCTGCTACTACTGCTTCATACTGCTACTGCTGCTGCTGCTGCTGCTGATGCTGCTGATGCTACTAATACTGCTGCTGCTACTGCTGCTGCTGCTACTACTGCTGCTGCTACTACTGCTGCTGCTGCTGCTGCTGCTACTACTGCTGCTGCTGCTGCTGCTGCTGCTGCTACTACTGCTGCTGCTGCTGCTGCTGCTGCTGCTACTACTGCTGCTGCTGATGCTGCTGCTGCTGCTGCTGCTGGTGCTACTACTGCTGCTGCTGCTGCTGCTGCTACTGCTACTGCTACTACTGCTGCTGCTGCTGCTGCTGCTACTGCTGCTTTAGGAACACTGTACTCTCCTTTTCACGTTAGGATTTCACTAAACCCTCAGTGTAGTGGAGGAACACAGCTTGATGTAAACACACTGCTGCTAACATGTAAAGATGCTAATAAATAACTACATCTTGCTTGCTCTAGAATATACAGTACTTTATACTTGCCTCTTATTTTGCCAAATGTAAAACTTTTATACTTCTTTTTTATTATTATTATAATTATTCAAGATAGATATGTTATACTTTTAATGTGATGCTAGAGTTAGAGATTTGGTTTTATTTTAATTAGTATAGCTATCAGTCACTTACAGAATCTTGTGCTGTGTGCTCCTGAATCCTTGTGATGCAACACTGAAATGTCCCCGCTGTGGGACAAATTAAGGATCTCTCAATCTAAATCTTAATCTTGATGCATAGTTAAAGCACAACCAATAATTGATTTATGGAACTATATGTAATAAAATAAATAAAATGCATGTAACAAGTTCCAGGCTCATTAAACAGTTTGGGTGTATCATTAGTTTCCACATGGGTGTATTGTTTTTGGCATTCTTTACATCAGCTTTTAGACAGAAAAGTGAAAAGAGAGATCCACCCTGACTCAATCAGCTCTACGCTCAGAGTCAAATAGTAACTCACAATGTTGCTCTTGCTCTGTTAGAACATGTTGTATTTAGGTAAAGGTAAAAATAACCAAGTGTAAACGTCTGACTATTCTTCACACTTCTGTCTCAACAAAATGAATGAATGGTAAAAAGAATTCCTGTGTTTCAAATACACATTAATCTAATGAACTATTCCCATGTACTTTGGTAATATATATGCCTATATTCTAATGGTTCTTGAGCCTATATGTTAAATAGTGAGGGCTAGTAATTGAAACGGTATTTGACTTTTGAATCTATTTTGAACCATCAGAATCACAACAAGTGCTTGTAATATGTTTGGCAAAAGCCTTCATTCCCCACGGCTACCAACATTCTTCTATATATATATATATGTTTTTTTTTTTTTTCTTCAAAGGTTTAAGCCGTAAGAGACTCCAAAACCCACAGCACATCATCAATATTTCACTAGAACCATACATCTTAAGTCAGGGCCTCTCTTTCTTGACACTTTGAGCACCACGTGGAACCATATTGAGCAGAGATAACACTTGAAGCAGCATCAGTAGCAGCTAAGATGAGAAACGGAAAGCAAACATTGTCATGACACGCCAGCAGTCTATTAAACGCCGCCTTGGAAAGCTACTTAGGCTCCCAAAAGGGAATGTGGGACGCCAGACAACACTTCCTGAGTTTAGTTAAACATTGAGCTGCTGAATAAAAGATGAAGGGTGAGACAGAGGCCATTTTCGTTGAGGATGCATCTACTTTTGGAGAGGGTGTCAAATTGGTACAAATCCGTCTCTTGTAAGTTATTTTACAAACCAGCAAAGAGGGAATTCAAATCCAATGGGTGCTGCTCGTGTTAGCGGCGGGTTCCTAACGTGAACGATGGCGTGCATTTCTGCTGGTTTATTTTTATCTTGAACCTGTTACACTCTCTACACTGCAAAAAAATGATAACATATGAGGTAAGAATTGCTTGGATCGAGTGGTTTATATCTTAATCTGAGCACATTCTGACTGACTTTAAACAAGATTGGCCAAAAGAACAAGCCATTTAGTGTTATTTCAAAAACTGTTGCTCTATTTCCTCATTCCAAAGGAGACATTTCTTGTATCTTTTAAAAAACGAGACAATTTTGCTTTTTCCTATTGGAAAATCTTGTTTTAAGGCAGTACGAATGTTCTCAATTCAAGACACATGAGCAATATTTTGCACTGTATTTTTGCAGTGTAAGCCCTGCTGCATTTTATTCAGTATTTTAGTTGTTTTGTAAGCAAATTCATTTAACTGGAAATGGGAAAAATTAAAGCTAAGATGTGTCCCTCATATTTTTTAAAACAATTGGATGAAATCAGTTATTGCCACAAATAAAAATAAAAAGTAACAAAGGGTTAATAGAATTGCTTCATTTATTCCTCTCAAAGTTTTTGGTTAATTACAGGTTTTTCACATGTTCAATGGGAATTGTCAAAACCCTTTATGTTCAATAGGAACTTAGTTTCTCTATGAAATCAAAAAAGTGTTTTTTCCCTTTCGAAATGTTCATAAAAGTCTTTCATTTCATAAAATCAGTCATGTTTTTTTACTTTGGATGAGAATCGTACAGAAGTCCATGTATTAAATATGAAGTTATAAGTGTGTGTTTCAGGAGCCGTAGAATGGTCCGGCTCAACTCATTTTTTTGCATCAAATGTTGATTATTTGGATCCTGCAAAACAACCTCTGGACACTATACCATTTGCTTCTATGGCCAACGGTCACAGTTCACTCTAAAACATGTTCTTTACTTGTGGTTGTAAGTAAGTAATCTTTATTCATACAGCGCATTGTACAGACCAAGGTCACCTACAATTGTTGAATGTTCAGATACTGTATTGTTCCATTCTCTTCACACAGTGATGACGGCAGGGGAAAACCGGAGGAAACCTACGCAGGCACGAGGAGAACATGCAAACTCCACACAGAAATACGCTGCTCCAACCGTGTTTCATGCCCAGGAAATTTTTGCTGTGAACCACAAGCTCTAACCACGGCGCCACCGTGCCGTTGTGATTGCGACGCTGTAAATTCCGGACTATAAGCCGCAGCTTTTTTTCCTCACTTTGACCGCGGATTATATTCAGATGCTTTTTTAATTTTTGTTTTGTTATCATAATTAAATCGTGATGTCAATGATATGTTAATCTGTCATCTGAACTTTCCCGGCCTGTACAAAATTCAATTTCTTTCTAAATATTAGACTTTTACCTAACAAGAAAAATTGAGGCAACCCTCACCATTGGTCTTTTTACGTTGTATCAACTATAGTAAATTTGTTTATTGTACATATTTTATGTACATTTTTCTTGTTGGGTCAACTCATTACTTTTTAGACTGCGTGGCGTATAATCAGGAAACTACGGTAAATGCTGTGCGTACTGACCTTTCCACCCAGTTCTTGTAGTTGGGGATGTCTTTAGCGTAGAGCAGCTTATTGGAGGGTGAGTCTTTGCCCAGTTTGTGTTCCGACGTGGAGCAGGAGTCCATGAAGGTCTGAGCCACCACCGACAGACAGGCGTCAGAGATGCTGTTCTTATGGATGTCAAAGACGAACTGAGGATTCTTGATCACGTTCACCCAGAACCTCAGGGGAAGGCTGCGGACCAGACACATCCACACGTCACTTTCATTTCATTTCATTTCTCATTTCATGTAACCGCATCATTTCACAATCATGGGGAAGAGCAATAGACAGGACAATAATGAATACTAGGGTTCTACTTACTTAATAAAGTGTCTATCTATCCGTCTATCTATCTATGTATCTATCTATCTATCTATGTATCTATCTATCCATCTATCTATTTACTGTATCTATCTCTCTATCTATCTATCTATGTATCTATGTATCTATCTGTGTATCTATCTACTGTATCTATGTATCAATCTATGTATCTATCTATCTATCTATCTATCTATCTATCTATGTATCTATCTGTGTATCTATCTATCATCTATCTATCTGTCTATCTATGTATTTTTGTATCCATCTATCCATCTATCTATCTATTCTACCAGTAAATAAGTATTCCATGTTTATTTAGTGCATTTCACAGACCAAGGTCACCCCAAAGTATTTATAAAGTTTTGAAGTACTGATATGTTCTGTTCACTCCACATTCCAGCAGCAAGATTCTTTTTATTGTTTTTATTTAACCAGGAAAATCCCAATGATACATAGCCCCTGTTTAGACGGAGACACTATGAAACAATTAGCTCTGCATTCATCCTAAAACGTAAACACTTACAGGACATTTAACACACAAAGACACACTCACGATGACACATGAGAGTCGATACTAGAGTCGATCATGGTCACCGCCAATTCATTATGTACAAACATGCATCTCTGCTGTAAATAACCTGAACAAAGTGGATTATTATTTCCACACCACTCCAGTTTTAATCGTTCCAAAAATATCAATGCAAGCGTGTACTGTATCTCGACATATGGAAGCGGGACCAACAGTCTGAGTGGTTTGTGTAAGTGACAGCTGCCGTATATATAGAAGCACAAGTGCTTTGCTCCTGGGGTTTCATTTGCACTTTGCACACACTCATTTTTAATTAGTGCCTCTTTTTTGGTTCATGAAATACAGTGTGTATTGTAGTAAGCTCCTCTGAGACTGGAGCAGCTGACTAACACATGTAAATGGAGGCTAAGTGAGGAGTATTGTGCAGGGATTCCAGACACACTTCCCAGGTTCAAATGCACCAAACCGTTTCAGTCCCACACTCTGCAGATGTCGTCCGATCGATTTGAGGGGGAGTTGGAACAATAAGCGTGCTCCAAACATGGACTCCGGTCTACTACCTGTTTTTAACTATGTGTAGCTATTGGCTGCTAAGTATGAGATAGAGATGACGAGAGCCACATTGTATCACCGCTGAAATAGAGCACTGCAAAAATAGTGACCTAATAAACAAAATGGTTTTAATCTGCAAAAAGTGGAAGCAAAAAAAACAAGAAAAAAGGGGACTCTTAGCAATGTACTCGTTTCATATTGTTAAGATTTTTTGAAACAAGGAAAAAATATTAATAACTAATATCATAAGTATCTTCAGCCTACATGAGTGAATGATTATATAAATACAGTTATATCAAGTAAACAATTTAAGTCTAAATTTTTGTGGATGTAGAAAGTGATCTATAAAGGCCTCACCAGTTGCTCTTCCACGTATGCCTCACGTCGTAGTCGTTGATGGAATGCTTGTCGGCCTGTTCGTCCAGGAAGTCAAACATGTACTTGATGGCCAACGGGAGCGCGCTGCCTCGGTGCGCTGTGCTGAAGATGGTCTCAAAGAGGTCGTCGACGAACTTCTGCAGTGTACCCTTTGGACGAGACGAACACAAAAAACACTCCCATCAGTACAGACATGCATGAAGACAGTTTCAAGACAAAGACAAGGTTATCAAAGTGTGTCCGAACTGATGACAGCTCATGGAAAGAAGCTGTTGTGTTATGATACCTGACTATTTGCATTTCTTAAGCTTGGCCCCCTGGTCTTCAACAAGCAGCCTCTTCAGAAGTACAGACCATGTTTCTGTGCAATAACTGCACTTGAACATAATTACATCAAACGCAGCTAAATGAATTTCACTAAAATCACATTTGTTTGCTGACTTCTCCATCTGGCGCAATCCATTACAGTATGAATGTCTGGGGAACATATTTAGTCAGCGATTGGAGAGTGGGATGGATTGAAAAGTAGAGGGATGTGTAGACACAAGCCAGCTCTGGATGGGCCTCTCAATTACATTTTCTTCTGTTTTTTCATTATGCACGGGCTCAATTTTCCCCGCCTCGCCGAACGACCTGTCCCCCGGCTGCTCCTGTATCCGCCTTGGTACACGCGCCAACAAATGCATCTTGTTTTCTCTGATTACGTGGAAATGGAAAAGCTGGGATGCATACACACAATCTTTTGCATGTAAACAGTTTTATGAATGGAAGCGAAGGTGGCAACTCTCGCGGTCTGCAGTGCTAGGTTCCATGGAATCAAATTTGCAATCAATTAGAGCTTGTACAATCGAGCTCAGCGTGCAACATGGTTAGAGTTTGATAAAATGCACCGCGGAGGCTGAGCTAGTTTTGCTTGGCCCAAGGTTTTGATGAGAATGTTGTGAGCAAATTAGGAACCAGAGATATTCCTCTTTGCACCTCCCTAAGATACATACCTTTGCTATGTGCACTTCATAATATATATAATCTTTATACCGGACTCAGGGTCCATACAAGAGACAACACAAGGACACCACAAGACACAGAAACATAAAAAATAAAATAGCAAAGTCTAAGGACTCATTTACAAAGACACTTGTACCAGTGTTCCCAGAACTGAGAAATATAGCGTGTTGTACTGAACTTGGCATTCACCAAAACAACAACAACCAGGTTCACAGACTCGTTCAATCGGCGAATAAAACTAAAAATTGCATTTCTCAGGACAGACTTCAGTGTGTTCACTCTGTTGCTCACGAACAACTCACTCGCATGAGTCGATCTGGGCAGTAATAGAGTGTAAATGCAGTGTAAAACAGATATATTTCAGGTGTTATTTAGAATATGATTACAGCATATATTGTATATACCTGTATTCATGAAAGGAACAAATAACTAAATACAATTACTAATACAAAATATATTGTATACTGTATAGTAGTATCTCAATGCAAGACCCAATCACTTTTGGGATTTGCGCTAAAAAGCATGGAACAACTAGATTTTACCTTTTTTTTCTTCCAAAATCAAGCTGTATACTTCTTCATTCCAGACAAACGAAACAAAACATTTGCAAAATAGTGGATTTTACATGAATTGGGTTTAAATCAAAGTTTATTATTGGGGGTAGAGGTGCCTTGAAAAGTTTGAAGAGTAAGTAAAAGTACTATATGTGTTTTTTTGTTCTTGTTCCAATCTGAAGTACTACATTCGAACATTGTTTAAAGTCTCCCACTAAAACATCAAGCTATTCTGGTTTTTTTTTTCTCCACCTGCTCAGAGAATCCTTTTATTCAAGTCTTACTGTTCCCTCAAGGCTTTCTCAGAACTCTTGAAACTCACTTTAGTGGCGAGCAGCCGGGTCAGGTAGATCTCGGACACCATCTTGCTTCCCCGGTCGCCCTCTCGCTGGTCCGAGTGGTCGTGGTTCTTCACCAGGTGCCACAGTTTGGTGCCGCTCTCCAGGTCCGGGGTGATCATGGGCGTCCGGGAGCGCAGACTGTCCGGGCTGCTGGCTGTCCTCAACATACTCTCTGCAACGGAACAGAAACAGACTTCAGACTTACATTGCAAACATTAACACATTGTGATGACTCAGACCACACTGAGAGCTTTGGGGAGTCTTATGTGATGGAAGACGAATTTTCCATTGATTTGCGTGAACCCTCTAGGTGCCACGGTTGACTTAAGTCGATAATATACGTTATTGTCTAAAACGACCGATTATGTCAAGCAGCAAATTATATGTTTATTTGATAAGAAAGCATTGTTACAGGTGACCGATGCCATGTTCATAGGCCGCATCATGAATATCCAGGATTGCCACGTCATAATATGCAAATTATATGGGTACATTTCATTCTTACATAAACTATGGGCCATCCTTATAATATCTCTAAATTACATAAAGCCTCTATCTCTTCTCACGTTTAAGTTATAGAGAAATTAATGTCAAAATTCAAAATTGAACTTTTTTGGACAATACCTCTGGCGCTTAAACAAGGCACTTACTTGGATCAATACAAAGTACCTATAATGTTTTTTTATTGATTGACTGCGGAACCTTCCGCAGTCAACCATTGGTTTTGTATTTCTTTATTCCGTCATTTTTTTTGACACGTTTCACAGCTTTCACATTTTCAACAATTTCCACAAGTTATACATCAAAACGTTCCACATGTTTGGGAGATTATTGCTATTACTTTTGGGACTTCAGCGATTTCCGGTTTTTCCGCAATCGGACAAAAATCTGCATTGAGAATTCTGCAATGCATTTTAATAGGCCCATGCATTTTAATAGGACTTCAGCTCTTTCAGACATTTCTACAGTTTCAATGATTCAACAGTTTCAAGGATTCAACAGTTTCAAGGATTTCAGCAGTTTCAAGATTTCAAGAGTTTCAAGGACTTCAACAGTTTCAAGGACTTCAGCAGTTTCAAGGACTTCAGCAGTTTCAAGGACTTCAGCAGTTTCAAGGACTTCAGTGTAATCATGCAACCTAATAGGGATTTTTCCATGTAAACCAGTATAATGCAACTTAATAGGGATTTTTCCATGTAAACCAGTATAATGCAACTTAATAGGGTTTTTTTCATGTAAACCAGTATAATGCAACTTAATAGGGTTTTTTTTCATGTAAACCAGTATAATGCAACTTAATGGGGATTTTTCCATGTAAACCAGTATAATGCAACTTAATAGGGGTTTTTACATGTAAACCAGTATAATGCAACTTAATAGGGTTTTTTCCATGTAAACCAGTATAATGCAACTTAATAGGGTTTTTTCCATGTAAACCAGTATAATGCAACTTAATAGGGTTTTTTCCATGTAAACCAGTACAATGCAACTTAATAGGGATTTTTCCATGTAAACCAGTATAATGCAACTTAATAGGGTTTTTTACATGTAAACCAGTATAATGCAACTTAATGGGGATTTTTCCATGTAAACCAGTATTATGCAACTTAATAGGGATTTTTCCATGTAAACCAGTATAATGCAACTTAATAGGGTTTTTTCATGTAAACCAGTATAATGCAACTTAATAGGGTTTTTTTTCATGTAAACCAGTATAATGCAACTTAATGGGGATTTTTCCATGTAAACCAGTATAATGCAACTTAATAGGGGTTTTTACATGTAAACCAGTATAATGCAACTTAATAGGGTTTTTTTTCCATGTAAACCAGTATAATGCAACTTAATAGGGTTTTTTCCATGTAAACCAGTATAATGCAACTTAATAGGGTTTTTTCCATGTAAACCAGTACAATGCAACTTAATAGGGATTTTTCCATGTAAACCAGTATAATGCAACTTAATAGGGTTTTTTACATGTAAACCAGTATAATGCAACTTAATGGGGATTTTTCCATGTAAACCAGTATTATGCAACTTAATAGGGATTTTTCCATGTAAACCAGTATAATGCAACTTAATAGGGATTTTTCCTTGTAAACCAGTATAATGCAACTTAATAGGGTTTTTTTCATGTAAACCAGTATAATGCAACTTAATGGGGATTTTTCCATGTAAACCAGTATTATGCAACTTAATAGGGATTTTTCCATGTAAACCAGTATAATGCAACTTAATAGGGTTTTTACATGTAAACCAGTATAATGGAACTTAATAGGGGTTTTTACATGTAAACCAGTATAATGGAACTTAATAGGGGTTTTTACATGTAAACCAGTATAATGCAACTTAATAAGGATTTTTACATGTAAACCACTATAATGTAACCTAATAGGGGTTTTTACATGTAAACCAGTATAAAGCAACTTAATAGGGATTTGTACATGTAAACCAGTATAATGCAACCTAATAGGGATTTTTCCATGTAAACCAGTATAATGCAACTTAATAGAGATTTTTCCATGTAAACCAGTATAATGCAACTTAATAGGGATTTTTCCATGTAAACCAGTATAATGCAACCTAATAGGGATTTTTCCATGTAAACCAGTATAATGCAACCTAATAGGGATTTTTCCATGTAAACCAGTATAATGCAACCTAATAGGGATTTTTCCATGTAAACCAGTATAATGCAACCTAATAGGTTGCATTATACCACCAGACCAAGACCCAAACGAAGACTCAGACCACCACCAGATAATGACCACAGACCAGGTTTCCTTAGTTACAGGAACCAAATTGTTTCAGCGGTGAGGGGATTTTTCAGTTTCAAGGACACTTTCAATACATTCAGTAGTTTCAAGGATTTCAACTGTTTAAGAATTTAACCAGTTTCAAGGATATCAGGAGGTTCAAGGATTTCAGGAGTTTCCACACTTTCAACAGTTTCCAGGTTTAAAAAAAGTTTCAAGGATTTCAGGAGTTTCAATGTTTCAACAGTTTCAAGGATTTCAGGAGTTTAAAGGTTTCAACAATTTCAAGGACTTCAGGAGTTTCAAATATCTATCAAGTATTTTAACAGTTTCAAGGCCTTTTAAAGGATTTCAAGGATTTTTTTTAGCAGATTTCCACATTAGATCTGTTCCGCAGTCAATCGCAATGGCTTCAGCCATTGCAAGTTTCTAGTTATTATTGAATGTCAACTATCACATTTTCCTGGATTGGATATCAATAGCTGAGCATAAATGCCTGATAATCTTTGAGTTTTTATTTGTACAACGTGCTGTCTGAAAAAGAAATGAAACTCACTTTTTGTTTTGAGCTTCTGCAAATGCAGTGTTTTAACCTCTATCTACTGGCAGGATAGCAAAAAGGCTGTAATGATAATGAAATGAGTCAATTTATTCGTTGACCAGATCCACATCCAGTAGCATTTTTTTAGTAAACACACATTATGGTTGTTCTAAATGCTGGTTTTGAGAACTTACCAATCTAGAAATCAAAGTCAGTTTCACACAGACGTGTCTTTAAACATCAGTGTATCATGTAATGGCTCAGATTTCATACAGTGTGAGCGTTGATTAGAACAGCCAGGAACTACATGTTGCGTTTCCTGAGGGAGGGGCTGGAGTGGAGGAGCGCAGCGGGGAGGGGGCTATCTGACAAGCCGCTTTTAGGTCAATGCGACGCAGCCGATGGGGACGGCAGTGGCGGCGGCGGAGGAGGTGGAGGAAGAAGTGTGGACGAGACAGAGGAGATGACAGAGGACGGGGGTGGGGCTAAATGGACACTAAAAGGTCAGCTCCGGCAGAGTGGCAGGGGGTGAAATGGAGAGTAATGGGTTAGAAAAGTGAATAAAGCCATGTGGACATGAGTGCTAAGGGTCAGGATAGCATGGCTTGTATAGGTAACCTCCTAAAGGGCAGCGGTATGGGCCCAGTGAATTGTCACGGTTTTAATTGGATGTTTTTCAATTGCGATAAAATGGTTTTGTCCATTACAAACTACAGCAATTTTATATACAGTTGAAAAATTCTAAATACATTCACTTAAAGCTGGGCAGCAATACAATCCCAGCACTTTCAAAATAGTTGAAGGTTTTCGCGGTTTTCATCTGTCACATCCTTAGATCAACTTCAAAAAATAAATATATAATAATCCATCCATCTTCTACCCCTTTATCCATTTCTGGGTCAGGGGGATGGCCAGAGATGCCACCCAGTACACATAGCACCTAATAATAATAACAATAACACAGGACAGCCCTCTCTCAGCCAATCAGCTCCCAGCCCTGATCATTAAACTCCTTCTTACAAGTTTGCAAAATATAACTGTTATTAATTATTGTATTGCTACTATTATGTTTTCTAAAAAAGGATAGAGGTGGATTTTGAAGTCTGAAGCTCTCAAAATAACAGACATTTCTGATGGGACAAACACAACTGTAATTTACTCACACAGTTTGCGGTCATATGATCTTATGTTGCTCTCTGTTATCTTTACCCGCACAGAACTGGGGCAAAAAAAAGGCCTTTTTTTTTACACTGTATGCTGCTCCTTTTACATGAAAAGTGTTACAAAAAAACTGAAAATTATCCGAATATATTTCATTGAACGCTTTTAAAATCCAGATGAAGTCCAGATTTGAGAGCACTTGAGACGTCCTCGTTCACATAACTGTTTTTATAATCTATAATTGTATGTAACTGTGTGTAACTTAAATCCAGGACTCCTTTTAAAAAAAAAAAAAAAGATGTTCTTAAACTCAATGGGACTTTCTGGGGGTAAATAACAAAATAATAATAAAAAAATGAAAATAAAAAACAATGTTAAGTGACAAACCTTTTATAGCTGGGACACATCAGTTTCTTATTGTGGATGAAAAAGCATTTACTTATATATTACTTGTCTTCCGCTCTCTTTGGAACATGCATAATTGTTATTTATTTGCTAAAAGTGCAGCTTTAAAGAAGATTTTTGAGACCAAAAAATGACATGGGGAGACTATGCTCAGCTAATCGACTGATCCAACGTGTCGTGATGATCGACATGGCCCTTTGTTATAAGTTTACAAGTTTCCGTCTCTATTTTTTCCAGAAAGTTCTCATCTGGTGGTGAATAACATTTGAATGATAAAAAAACACACAATGCAAGCATATGTAATAGCCTAAATAAATACAAGTACCGTATGATGCGCACTATAAGGCGCATTATCAAATTATGCCTTTATCTTCGTAGACTATAAGGCTCCTTTTTGAAATTAAAGGGGCCTAATAGTGCAAACAATATGGTAAAGAAAATACATTGAATAGTGACTTATATCAAACCATTTGTTGTGATTAGAATAATCACAACTTCTAAAAACCCTAAATAAAAATTTTATTTTGCAAAAAAAAAAATAGCTTGAATCTAGTTATTTTTTTTCTTCTTTTTTTATCTCTATTTTCCCCTCCAAGTTCTATTATAAAGTAAAAAACATTTACAAAATTCAGGACGGTGGAGCAAAATATGCAAAATCAGGCATATATCAGATCAAAAATATTTGTTAAATGAAACTAAATGGAAGATAACTGTGACCATCAGACGATATCTTCAAAGTTAAAATAGCTCTAAGGCACAATAAAATGTGACAAAGAAAAACATTAGCATCAATATATTTAGGAGATTGCCCGGAAGCATTTTACTTGGTTTGACAAAGACAGTTTTCAGTTTTTATCTTTGCTTTCAGCGTCATTGTGAGCCCACCGCAGAATATCTTAGCCTTTGCTTTGAAAGACCCGAAGAACCGTAATATTCCAACTCTGCACAAATGGAAGTCCCTAAAACCTGTCACGCTGCAAAACTCAAAATGAAACTAAATTATTCATACAGCAGGACCCCAGTGTTAAATTTGAATGTCCCCGGCTAATCACCCGGCTTCAGTGAATGGAGGGAGAAAAGCACATTTTCACACTCAAATTCCAAAAGTCCAGCCATTCCTTTATCAGGCTATAGACTCATTTATCTTCTAAAGAGTCCCATTTCCCAGTGAAGTATAGGGTATTCGACTTGGGCCTGTGTCTATCACCAGCTGCCAGGTGTCCATCCAATCTGCTCACCATCCCTTCTATCACCCCCTCGCTCCATTTCACCCCCTTTCTCTCTCTCCCCCCCCCCTCTCTCTCTTTCTCTCTCTCTCTGGAGGTGTCTCCTTTAATGCCTGTCATTTAGCGGCGCTCTTGGAAATAGCTCTGGAACAGCCTTGGCCCGGACTGATAGGGTTGGATAAAAAGGGATTGCCATTGAGTGAGAAAGGTGCAAAAGAATGGGCTTTGATGATGGCCTCCATAAATAAAGAGGCAGAGAAAACACGCCGATGGGATGGGGTGAGGACGGGGGGGCGGGGGGGGGGTCGGGGGGACGGGGGGGAGATTGGGGAGCATTGTATTGGAGAACCTTGGATTTTGAAGTGAGTCTGTAACTTTGAGTCCGTCATTTATTTTAGTTTGTGTTTTTTTTTTGTGTGTTACAAGCTATGGATTGGTATCCGTATCGATACAAACTGATCGGAGTAATGCTATTGATTGTTCTGCAACTACCGCTACTGCTGTTTCTATGGCGACAGAGATATAGATCGCACCGTATCTGCTGAGGCTCTTTGTGAAGGTGGAGGAGTTGGAGATGTTGTAGGCAGAGTTCTGCTTTGGCACCAGAGCGATTACAGAGCCATCCGTCACCTAAACAGACAAAAACACACACACACAATACAAGCATGAATAAAATCATTAAGAAATAAATACGTATATAACGTATGTGAAATACATAGTACTGTAGTGTCATATATCAAACCTGTTTTCATTACGATTTGAATAACAGTGTCACAGGTTCTAAAAACTCCAAATAAATAGAATATCATTGCAAAAAATGATAAAATATGAGGTAATAAAGGCTTGAATCGAGGGGTTTTTATCTTAATTTGAGCACGTTCTGACTGTCTTTAAATAAGATTTGCCAATGGGACTAAGTCTTTTTTAATGAACCTTTGCTTTATTTTCTTATTCCAAGGGCGACATTTCTTTTTTTTTTTCTTTTTAAAACAATACAATGCTGCTTTTACCATTGACAAAAGATACAAAAAACACTCAATTCAAGGAATCATTATCTCAAAAATCTTAATTTTTTTTCAGTGAAAATATTCTGTTTACTTTTTATTTTTGAGGTTTTAGAAGGTGTGAGACAATTATTAGAAGTGTCAAAATGTGTTCAAATTCGAGCAATTTTTGACTTGCCAACAAAGGCTTGGCATATGTCATGTTGCTTGTCTATAGTCTGCACTGCAAAAAGTAATGATAAATAAGTCCAAAATTTCACAAAATTGGCAAAATATATTTTAATCTTAGCCCATTTCGACTGCCTTACAACAATAACTGCCAATGGGAAAACATTTTGAAAAATTACAAGAAATTTCTCCCTTGGAATTAGAAAATAATGCAACAGTTCTTGAAATAAGACGAAATCACTTTGTCCCATTGGTAAATTTTTTTAAGACAATCAGAAAGTGCTCAAAAAGATAAAAACCACTCAATTCAAGCCATAATTACCTCGTATACTGTATCACATTTTGCAGTAGAGTCTATATCATGCACTGGTTTCACCTTTCAAAGCCTCCCAGTAAAGGCAACCACACTTACAGTACTACTATGGGGTCGTTTGTGCCTCTCGCTACAGTGGGAGACAGCCTGACTTTGTACCTGATAGTGGGCCAGCGTGTTGAGCCTCTTCCAGTCGTTGTCGATCTTCGTGGTGACGTCTTCGTCTTGGAGAATGATCCGAGCCATTCGACCCTGACGCCATTCTGCAGTTACACAAAATACTCACGTGTTAAATACTAATGTATGTAGTGTGGCTGCGAGGTCAGGTGACACACGCTGCTGCACTGTTCTTCTAATCTTGTAAATGAAGTGTTTAATTCAATGTTAACGCCAGTTCATGCAACCGGGAGAAAAGCAAGAAATCATTATTTTATGGGAAGATATGGGGAGATTGTCACACCTTCATCCCTATTCAGGTGCTAATGGCAAACTCCTGGAGACCCCGGAAAGAATACATGAGTTAAAATTCACGTCGACGTAATCTACTAGACTGGAGTAGTAGCAAAACATTTCTTGAATAAGTGAGTGGAGTTTGCATGTTCTCCCTGCGTCTACTTGGTTTCCTCCAGGGATGCCTGATTCCACCATCACTAAAATCATGCACAAAATAATGTATGTTGATTATAGTTTGTTGTTGACAAAACTCTTGTCTATTCAGCTATAACGGTCCCAGCTGGATTCATCTGCATATCTGGCAACCTGAGCCAGGGAGCGAGGGAAAGGACTACAGAATATTGACCATGATTGCAGTACCACTTTTGACCAGATTTTTACTTATTGCTAATTCTTATTCTTAGCTATGGATCCTGTGCTTGCCTGTGAGTCCTCAATAAAGTCTAAATAAAATAAAATAAAATAACTATTGAATATTCTTATTAACCGTGAACATTGGAACATTTTTATTAATTTTTTAAGACTGCTTTTGATTATGTGACATGTGAGCCTTTATCATTCCATGGTTTTGTCCAATAAGCAGGCCTTACAGTTGTTTTGAGCTCAATAACGATAATTGAAAGTGTAGTAGAGTGAAGCAGAAAGCAGTCCGTTACCCAGGTCCATGTCAGATGCTTTGGGCCTCTGGGAGTAGGGGCTGCCCTTGTACACAGCGTCCAGCAGCTTCTCTTTGACCTGAGTGATGGTGTCACAGTTCAGAGCCTTCACCGTCACCTCCGATGAGTTCTCGTTCTCCGGGTTTACACAGTGCAGAGTCTACAAAACACACAAGTCATCACAATGAGGAGACAGTACAAGACAGGTCTGTCAGGTGGTGTTTAGGCTGGACAAACAGGCTCTCTTTTTCCCTTTCTTTTTTATTATTTTTTATGAATATAGTCATTTTCAAAGAGATGACCATTATATACCAAGATTCTGCCAAAAAAATAAGAAAGCTTTTTTATACATATGCCTATACATTGGGACTCAAGACCAATATGTACTGTAGGCATACAAAAATGTACAATGTTGAAAAGAAAGAAAGAAACCAAAAACAATGGTTAAAATACGTTTGTTCACATAATTATATAAAAAAAAACGTATTATCAAACATTATATTAGAATAGATGAGATTCTATTGTCATTAAAGAGTCAGAACAATTCAATGACATGCAGTTTAGCATCTAACCAGTGCAACATCGCAAGTATAGAATCATATTTAAAACACATATAATTATATTTGCATTTAGGTGAGACTGTGCAAAGCTGCTATTGCTAGTACTGTATAAAAAGTGCGTCCCATGTTTTTTTGTTTTTTTTCAACAGGGTGAGACTTTGGGAGTGTGTCACCCTGTTGAAAACTGTGTGAAAACTATCTCTTAGCCTACATGGTCCTGACCAGTGATGGGAATAACGCCGTTACTTTTTTCAGTAACGAGTAATCTAACTAATTACTTTGACTGTAACTATAACGCCGTTATCATTTCCGACATCCCGTTACTGCGCGTTACTCAAGACGCACAATGAACTTCTCTTTTTACTTTGTGATAGGACTCGTGCGCGTGTTGTCATGAGAGAAGGGAGGATGAGAAAATCTCTCAGCAGTTATTGGCTGATGTAAAACATATTTCCTTTACAATCTACATGTCTACAGTTGAGAGGATTGCTCATAAATTGTGTTTTTGAAACAAATATGGGTCTTAATCACACTCTACCACGGCTTGTATCACCGTGAGGCCTCAGAGGAGCGCATGTGAGCGCAGAAGTCGGCTGCATACAGTTCCATCGATAAGCTCCTTTCTCCTCCTGGTTTATCTGCTACGGACAGCAACAGGTTTGGCTAACATACATATAACATATTTAAGATAATTTAAAATGCACTTAGGGTAATTTTTCAATGACTATAGGAATGATAAGAAAGAGAGGTGAAGTGTAAGACGGTTGATTTTAGAAATCGGATGCACCCGGCTGCAGCAAAACAGAGGAGTTTATGGAGGACACACGCGTTTTGTTTTGCTTTTTAAAACTCATTAGACTCATTTCCAAATGGAGGATTACATATCTACGCTCAAACTATTATCTGGACTTAAACATGGAACTGGTCTGAAGCGAAGTGGTCTGTGCAGGTCATTTATAAGGTAAGACCCATAACTCTTAGTTTTGCGTTTTGTATGAACAAACAATGCGGGAATGAAACATATTCTGCTGTAGCCAAACAAATAAGCCGCTCTCTAGGTCCAGTTGATTTATATGATATATATGTTCATCTGATTGGGCTGAAGTCAGTGCTTCACCGGTGTTTCCACATTCACAGTGGCGGGTGTTGGTGTTTAGTGCTTACAGCACAGAGAGAGATGAAGAGTGAACAGGACTTCAGCAGAAAAACAGACTTTTCGAGATGGAAATATTGGCACTATTTAAACTCACTGAGGTTAAAGGTTAAAGGTTAAAGGTAAAAATGCGCACGTCGAGTGCACATTATGTTTCAGAACAAAACAAAAAAGTAACGCAATAGTTACTTTTACTGGTAACTAGTTACTTTTATAGTGGAGTAACTCCGTTAGTAACTCAGTTACTTTTTGGGAGAAGTAACTAGTAACTATAACTAATTACTTTTTCAAAGTAACGTGCCCAACACTGGTCCTGACCCAGAGGCTCCTGTAGCGGCGACCATTTCTATCTGGGACAAATACAACTCATTAAGGTAAAGAAAAGCGCATCCTCCGCTCTTACTGAACTCAACCGTATATGACCACATTTCAACGATATCCGGTCATGTCCCAACAGGAGGAAACCCTAGGGAAGACCCAGGACACGATGGAGGGACTGTGTCTCTCAGCTGGCCTGGGCACGCCTCAGGATTCGCCCGGATTAGCTGGAGGAACTTAAATTGCTAAAACAGATGTCTCAGTTTTGTCCACCATTGTGTTCCTCTAACTACAATCTTTGGCATGACAAAGGAAGGTTGCTCACCCATCATCTGTACTTCAGTCAGCAGGTTTTCCCATTTTTTTTGTACTTAATCTAAAAAACTTCATCAAGGGAATCAAAGCTCAGGTGCGAGTTGGAGATTTATAACCTGTGGATGTCATTAGATACACCATGATCCTGAGGCTAACTCTTTAACACATCTAAGGTCTGTTAAGATGTGGTATGGGTCTAACGATCCTGCTAGTTCTAACGGTTCTGCTAGGTCTAACGATCCTAATTCAATAGCACGTCACTGACCTTATCCATAGTTATGGTGTTGTTTATAAGACGTTAACATAGATGCGAGGAGAAAACAATCATAACCCGCCTCCTCTGTGTCTGGAAAAATCTTCTAACTGAAGGGCAGATGATGGGTGAGGAACCTTCCTTTTTTTTTCTTTTTATAATTCTCTACAAACCCTCACTTGTTTGTAGAGAACAAACCACGCTGACGATTACAAACTAATCTTCAGCGTGGTTTGTTAACGGCAATACATTTGAAAGAATTTGTACAAGAAGGGGTGAAAGTTTTATTGTATGGCATTAAAATATATCTGGCTTTGCACAAAACTACTAAGTGAAGGGAAAATCAAAAGCGTTTCTAATATTTTTCTGGTTTTTGGGCAAATTAACTATTCGAGCGTTTGTGACCGTCTTTGCCCCGCGACCCGGCAACGGATAAAGCGGAAGAAAACACCTGAAGCACGACCACATTTCTATCGCCCGGCTCACTTGCAGATGTCGTCCTTGTTTGTGCATTTACAGCCGCATGAAAAATACCAGGACAGTGCTGACAAGTGGCCGTCTGAGTCGCTTCCAGGTCTGAGTGCTTTGTTTGTGCACGAGGACGGCCGCCAGAGCGAAGCCGCCACTCCAAACACAATCAGGACGCCGGCCAGCTTTACCGCCGAGAAACCGCACCGTGCTACCAGCGTGCACGGGGATCTCTGCTGAGATTTGGACTCACAATGAATAGAACTGACCAGAGTTTTGTAGTCGATCTGCTGTCGGATGAGTTTGTCTTCGCTGAGGGAGTAGCGGGCCTCTCCGGTGATGGCGTCGATGGGACCTTTCTCCATTTGCTGCTTTATGGCACAGTAGAGCATGAACAGCGGCTCTCCAGCACATTCCTATGAACACAAAAGCACACACATTTCATAAGCTATGTATCGGAAGCTGTTTGAAGTGTTCCGAAGATTTATACGTTTTTTTTTTAACTCGGCTACACCAATTATTCAGAGAAAATCATATATGTATTTTTGCACAATCCACAATCACAACAGTAGTCGTCTCGAAGGGGGTTGACATAATTGTTATTTTGGCAATAGCAGAATGGAAAATCAATTAATTACAATGCCATTGGAAGAAAAGACAGACAACCAATTCATCGAAAAGACAGACAACCAATTTTCACAGGCCAATGAATGTTTCAGATTGTCCCCTGTTGTTAGACTCTCCCACTTTGGCATAATCAATATATAGATAAATTGATATTGAAGCATTTACAGCTAGCGAAGAAGCGTAGCAGCCACTTCTATTGTATATTCTGTGTGCTCCCTGTGTGTTTCCCCACTGTGGGATGAATAGATTCTCTTATCTTTCAATAAAACAAATATATTAAATTTTTGTTTTGTTATCATGTGTTTTAGTGACAATACATTAGCAAACGTAGTGTTGGGCCAAGAGCAGACTTTTGGACCATCCTTTAAAGCCGTTTTCGAGAGGAAAAAAGGTGCCATACAAAAGCATTGGGTAATTCTCTTTCCAGATACACCCCCACCAGCTAGGAGTCAGATTGCAACTTCTCCTTTTGGAGCCGGGACCTATCGGTGTTACCCCATTATTTTATACTCAAAAGTGTTTTTTTGAGAATGCTTGAATAATCCTAACTATCTTTCATTTCCTGCTCCCATAAATATATCTTACATAAAAGTGTGTGATTTATGAAGCATAATACATTGCTGGACGAAATATTGTTTTAAACCATTATTTAGGATCTACGTTAATGCTAATAAACAACAATACACAACAAACAGTCCATTGTTGCAAACATGTCTCTACCCGTTTCCTGACTTACATAAATCTACTCTGACTGTCTCTCCTTCCCTTCATTTCCAGACATAGACATTATGAATATGTTTTCTGTCCGACTTGCATCAAAGACATCACCGTGTAGGGCCATGAATGTGGAAAGCAGTACAGACTAAAGCACAGGTTTAATGATGAAGCGTTTGGGCCGAGAGCGGAGAAACGACTCATTAATCAGTCTAACCTTCACACTCTGACTCCTCTGTGGAAACAGCTGTAGCCGCCATAACCCGCTCCCCATTATTCATTATTGTTTTACACATCGATTAAAACATTTTTCAAACTTAATTGAGATCTTCAAACTGCAATAAAGATATCCTTTTGAAATGTGGGGTATTGATCTGTTTTTATTTTTATTTGTATTAGTTTCAGAGTGTGTCATTAGTTACAATGCGCGTAAACAACAGCAGAATTGAACTGTCAGGATGACCCAACAAAAAGAACTATTATAGAAGTACATTTGGATTAGTTGGTTATAACCCAGGGCTATTCAACTTGTGCAGCAGGTGGGGGACAAAACGGTCATGGACAAACTAACATCTATGCTGGACCATGACTGTTTGGCCGCTCTGGAGAGTCGCTTCAGTGACAGACTTATTCACCCTGGCTGTGTGAAGGAGAGCTTCCGTGGGTGTTTCCTTCCCGCTGCTGTCAGACTGTATAATGAGAACTGCTAAGCCCGTACATGTCATTCATCTGTATATCATCAATTCTGTAATCATGTGCAATATGTGCAATACTGCAATTTCAGAATGTCCACTGGATGTCACTTTCCCTACTCACGTACTGTATGTATAACTTTGCACCATATAGACAGAAAGATTGATATTGGAGCATTTACAGCTTGCTTAGAAACATAGCAGCTACTTCTATTGTATATTTTGTGTGTTTTCTATGTGTTCTTACTACTGTCGTGCATGTGCGCTGCAACATTGAAATTTCCCCACTGTGGGACAAATGTAGGATCTCATTTCCCATCGTATCTCAATCTAACTTTTTGATTATCCTTAGCCTGGTCTTCCCATAAGACATACTCATTTAATTTCGTACTAAGGTCTGGACGTACATATAGGAAAAGGATCATGGACCAGAGTTTATGGATGGGTAAGTGTAATCCTTATTGCGTTACATGTATCCTATATCCCCGATTTCTACAAGACCTTACAGCTCATAAGTTTAGGTAAAACAAAACACTTATTTCTGCAGTTATATAACGGCTCAATAACAGCCCTTGTGTCTTCTTCTTCATCAAAAGCATAGTGCGTGTGAGGACATCTCTGGTGCCACTGCCCCCTGCTGGGTCACATGACCTTAAGGCACAGCGGCGCTTCCCTGACGGTTCCATAACAACACAACAGCAGCCTTGCACTTCAAACAGAGAGCAGAGCAACACGCCGCGTGAGCCCAGGCGACTCAAGAAAGCTCCAATAAATAGAATATGGCGAGAGACACGCTGGTCCGGAGGATAGGAGCACATGAGGCTAGTCTTTTAATAACAGCAGATATGAATGAAGAGATGGAGAAGGAAAGATATTAGGGCTATTATTCTGCTGTAATTCAATTTAAGTCTACTCTAGTCTGGCAGTGTTTTCATTACAAGAGAAAAGACAAAAGTACCTTGAGGAATTTGTACAAGAGGAAGGTGAACCAGTTCGTCAGCATCTTCTCTGCGACAGATTCCGTTCTGAAAGAGATGAAATGTACAAGACATTATTGAAGTAGACGCATGCAGAGTTTTAATCATACAATATGGTTTGAATGATTCATGATGGAGTGAATGGGCGAGAGTGGCTCATTTGGGTAGACCATTGAAGGATGTGTGATGTCTGCTGTTGATGGGTCCTTGGGCAAGACACTTAACCCACTTTGCCCAAAAGGAGCGCAGAAGTGATGTTCGCTGCTTGCCTTGATGTGTATGTGTATATCATGTGTATGTGTATGCATCAAACTGAAATTTCCCCATGGGACAATTAAAGGACTTTCTTCTTCTTCTGTTTCCCTTTCGACCCATAAATTAGATTAAGGGGAAGAAAATGGATGGATGGATGTTTGAGAAATAACTTAATAACTTTAATACAGCACTTCAATGATCTTGCATGTTTTATTTAAACGATTTTTGTTGATTGGCTTCCCCGTCAAAATTGTTTTATTGTACTTTTTAGCTTCTTTATCAGAGGCCAAACACACCTGTATGTTAAAGCTAATGGTAGAATCAAACTATTAGTGGATTTTACAATTGTACTACCTATTGTTTGTGGTTTCAAAGGCATACCGGCTAAAAAAACAAGGAATGAATAAGAGTTTCTGATCAAAACATCAAAAAAAAAAGAAAAAAAGAAATATCAATAGCAAGTCTTCAATACTAATGACAAAGGAGACCAGGCAACTATGTCTTATTTAAGTATGATTTATGTAATTGCCATATAACGTTTGTATGTGATTAACTGTATTGCTAATTAACCCAAACGTAATTGGAGGAAATGACCCCATAGAGCATTGATCTACAGGCACAACATTGATCAGTGACTCTTTCTTGCTTATTGACAACATTTACTCAACATCAACAAATGAACGGACATTTTGAACAGTGTATCAATAGGTGTAATTTTTTCCGTTGTGCCATTTAGTTGGTTTGAACTGCAGAGGTGGATCTTTACAGCAGCTCACTAAGATGATGCAAGAGGCTAATGTTGTGGGCTGTAATTAAGAAAGAGCATTAAGGTCAAGTCAATATATGCAATTATGCTGAGCTAATTCACGGGTGTGTATAACCTGAACAATTGTGCGTACATGATGGAGGGCACAGGCTCAATCCAAGGTGTATAAACATGTCTTTATGAAGTGGTCTAATACTTTTGAAGAAGTTTGTGACATGATTGTGCAAGTGCCAGGAGAAGTCAGTCCCTGTCGTCTAAATAATGCCACAGCCAGGATTACGGACAAATCCTTTCTCCCACTGTCTCAGGGCTTATGTCTGCAGGGCTGCCAGCTCATGTGAGGAGGCAGTGGGCTTCGCAGGAAATGTCACTTGGTAACAGCTGAATACGAAACACAAGAGATGATGACACTACTTGAGCTTTTGTTATATAAGTCCATATTGCATATGAGAAAAGTCTGAAATAATAGGTGGTACCCTTGCCTGGTCTTACCATACCATCGTAGTCATTTCATTTTGTAGAAAGTTAACAGGTGGGACGGGTTAACTCCTTTTGCAGATTGAAACAATAGGATCTGAGTTTACTGTGCGCACCCAAGTGAGAGAGGCATTTAGCATTAAGCATAGCTTTAGCATTTAGGCCACAAGATTGTAGCCAGCAATGACATTTGCTAAACATTCCTTTTGCTCCGGCTTCAATTTCTTGATATTTCTCTACAACACCCGCCTCCCCTGCTCTCTGATTGGTCGGAGGGATACAGTAAAACTAAGTTAACAGCAGCCACTAGGATCAGACCCAGACCCACATGTAGCAAATGAGTTTACAGGTGGCTAAGGCCAGGCTAGGTGATACCCCCCATCTCTGTAGAGACATTTTTCCAGATGAAACTGGAAGATTTGATCTATGGTGCATGTTTTGAGTGGTGAGGGAGACCAAAGCACCTGGAGGAAATCCATCCAGACACAGGAAGAAACATGCAACATTCTTTCTGTAAGGCATAAGCGCTACTAACAGCCACTGTGCTGTTATTCATTTTACATAATCCTAATTCCTGACCAAATCAGGCTAGAAGTCAAGAGAGTATAATTATAATGTCTTGCAGGCAGTTGATCTGCTTATCAAAGTTCCTCCTGAATGTTGCAAAGTGACTGATATCGGAGCTAAAACCACCAAAAGTAATGTTTTCTTCTACTGTATTGATACTTGCTTCTTCTTTGCTTCTTTGGGGAAAAATCCTCCATTGTCCTCTACATGGCATACAACTTATCTAACTGTCCCATGTGACTGCCACCACCAAAATATGATTGTGTTTGGATTTCAGCCTTTTTATCCACTCAGGAATGCTTTGGATTTCATACAAGCAGTGTCTGGGCTGACCTCCGGAGCAGGAGTTTGGGGTGGTTCTTGCTCTCCAGGTTGCGGTCGATCAGGTCGGACAGCAGCTGCTTCAGGACCCCAGTGGCGTACTCCATCTCCCCCTGCAGGGCCGTCATGATGAGCGAGGCCACGTTCCCCCTGTCCCGCATGGAGAACGACCTGCACCACGGAACAATACACTCACTTTATTAACACTTTCCATCAATATTTCATCTGCTCTTCGAATCAGCCGGGTAATAACATCTATTTTTAATCTCTGTGGATGTGATCCTTGTCGGCGTGCGTTGAGTACATGGTATGGGCCGTTCGCTTCACTGTTTAATATGAATAATGGCACTTTTAGTTTAATTTCGGGAACAATTTAGAGAATATGCTGAGGTATTAAAGTGTATTATTGGAGATGCATTATTGATAAAGTCGTAAAGTATTCATATACAGTGAAGTGGTGTTGTTCTCTGGGATCGTTGTGCGTCTGGAGGAATGGCAAAGGAAAGTGTGTAACATTCAAAATCATTGATAAGATAAACAAGTGAAACTCTGAATATGTCGCTAAAAACCTCATAAAAACCTCAAAAGCCAAACTGGTGTAAGATATGGACTCATTACATGTAGAGGGAGAGAGAGATAGAGACAGAGAAAGAGAGAGACAGAGAGGGTTAGAGACAGAGAGAGAGACAGAAAGAGAGAGAGAAGAAATCAGAGGCAGACAGAGAGAAAGAGAGAGAGAGAGATACAGACAGAGAGAAAGAGAGAGAGAGAGTGGCATACAGAGACAAAGAGAGAGAGAGGGACAGACAGAGAGAAAGATAGAGAGAGAGACAGAGAGAGAGAAAGAGAGAGAGAGAGAGAGAGAGAGATACAGACAGAGAGAAAGAGAGAGAGAGAGAGTGACATACAGAGAGAAAGAGAGAGAGAAAGGGACACCAAAAGAGAGAGACAGAGAGAAAGAGACACCGAAAGAGACAAACAGACAGAGATAAACAGATGAGAGTGAGAAAGAGACAGAGAGAGAGAGACAGACAGAGATAGACAGAGACACTAAACGAGAGACAGATCAAGAGACTGAAAAACAGAGAGAGACAGACAGAGAGACAGAGAGAGAGACAGACAGACAGACAGACAGACAGACAGACAGACAGAGAGAGACAGATAGAGACAAACACAGAGTCCATTCAAATGTTGACAATAAAACATGCAGTTATTCCCTTTAGCTGCAACGATTCTGCTTCTTGCTTTTTTTATGCAAAGTATCAAGGCTCTGTGTGCTTTCGCATTTACGATGAGAACAACTAAACCAAAGACACTGCAACTATTTCACTTTGCCCAGACAGTTTATTCCACTCATTCTGTACAGTCAGAAAGATCCACATTGAGCAAACTTTAGCAAACTAGGAAGAAATCATCATTTTCAGTCCCGGAGTATTTTTGCCGTCACATACCTCTGTGCCTCCAGGGTGCGGATGAAGGTCAACAGAAAGTGCTTCTTGGTGAGCAGCTGGCCAAACAGCGTCAGAGCCTTCTCCACATTCGCTGGCACCTGGAAAACACACACAACACACACACATTTTTTTACATTTTGTTTTGTTTCATTGTGTAGAATTCTTGTTGTGTTGAATGTACTGAGAATGGAGCAACAGGATTTGACTCCCCTTTTTGCTTTTTGTCAGCCAATCTTGGTGAGATTTAAGGCAAAGCAAGGCAAGTTTATTTGTACTCAATTCCTACACAAGGCATCTCAAAGTGCTGAGCAAAATACAATAGCATAAAAATAAATAATCACAGTATATTAAAAAGAAAGATACAAATATAAAATTCCCCAGTCGCTATTTATTTACCAAGAAAAACATACATAATGCTTATTAATTAATGGCAAGTTCATTTTGCTTGAATTTAGTTTGCTAAGATAAATGTAAATGGATAGATACTTTATTGGTCGGCATAGGAGAAATTCAGGAAGAAGTTAAGATAATAATACTTCATAATCTTAGTTGAGAAAAAAGTCTGAGCACTGAGTTTTTAAAGCTTGTTTTAAGTATTTTCTTTTAAAATAAGGATATAATGCTATATTTCTCAAAAATGTTTTTTAAGAAATAAGTAAATAATACTTGAAATGTATGTTTTTAAACTAGAATCAAGTCATTTGGGGCAAGTATTATTTTATTATTTTCATAAATCTTGTCAAGTCATATTTTCTTGTTTTATTGGTAGATAATTGTTCTTTATTTTAATCAGTATTTTTCTTATTTTCATATATGTCTTTCTTATTTTTATCTAGTGATTGTGTCCAGTGTTCTCCACATACAGTATCCACACTTGTAGATATTTGACAAAAGAAATCAGGTGCAACCATCATGCGCCAACCTCTTTGTTCTTCATTTTCTTTATTGACTGATTAACATTGTTAGACGCGAGCCGGTCTACTGCCCCCTACAGGCTGCCTTCCGGGAATTTCTAACTAATCAAATTTAACATTCCCTTTTATTAGACTGCACGCTTCAATCAATACTTCAAATCAGCTTCAAAAACCATGCAAATTGCAATATATAGATTCAAATCTCCAGGTGTTAAATCCATTCACAGAAACAGCAGTGTGACTTAACAACCCGACGCCAGAAGATTTTTATGTGCGAGTTTTCTGGCCTCACGCCGAGTCGAGAAGATGGAAGTGGCCCCAGAACGGCACACTCTGATTGGACACCAGTGGATGCCATTTTATTTTACAGATGATTTTTTTTCCAATGCTGTCACGATCCTCCTCTTGCAAATCAGGAGTTAATCGCAGAGTTGACATTTGCAGAGGAGTGGATCTCATCGCTGTTTTCTATCTCCTCAAAAAAGTCGCCCGCTCTGTCCTGGAAATCTCCAGTGAATGTTTTAATTCTGCTCGAGCTGCTGCCTCTGTCACTTGGACGTCTCCTGTTCTCCTCTGCTCAATGGAGTTTGTGAGAGAGTGTAATGAGGCAGGAGGATAGAGGGAGGAAGAGAGAGGGAGGTGAGAGGAGAGAGGGAGGAGGAGAGAGGGAGGAGGAGAGAGGGGGGAGGAGCGAGGGAGGTGAGAGGCGGGAGGAGAGAGGGAGGAGGAGAGAGGGAGGTGAGAGGGGGAAGGAGAGAGGGAGAATGAGAGAGGGAGGTGAGAGGCGGGAGGAGAGAGGGAGAATGAGAGAGGGAGGTGAGAGGCGGGAGGAGAGAGGGAGAATGAGAGAGGGAGGTGAGAGGCGGGAGGAGAGAGGGAGGAGGAGAGAGGGAGGTGAGAGGTGGGAGGAGAGAGGGAGGTGAGAGGCGGGAGGAGAGAGGGAGGAGGAGAGAGGCAGCAGGAGGACAGAGGGAGGAAGGAGAGGCAGGAGGAGAGAGGGAGGAGGAGGACAGAGACTGGGCTCCTTTCTAAGGTGTCATCATGCATCAACAGCACACACAGAGGGAGGTGATGGAGCCCTCAGGATGTGCTAAATTCCTGCCTTTGGGGCGACCGGCTTTATGGTGTCATGTCGGAGTGTGATAAAAACATGTTTTAGATAAACATTTATATTTGTATAGAAAATACAATATTCATTTTTTTAAATTTAGAATTATATACTCACACAGATAGTAAACATGTCCCTTAATTCTGGAATATTCCCAAAGGCCCTGAAAACTATGTCCAATAGGCATGTCTGGCATGCGCCTCCTGTACCGGCGACCCCGTTCCCATCTCTGTGTGGAGTGAGAGATAAATGCCCATATTTAACAATTGTAAACCGCTTTGAGACTCAGATCTGCAGTGAAAAGGCGGTATATAAATAAAGATTACTTACTTACTTACTAAAACTGCAGTCATCAGGCCCCTGCTAAAAAAGAGCAGGCTGGATGCTACGGTACTTAACAACTATCGTCCCATCTCAAATCTGCCATTTATGGGGAAAGTCCTTGAAAAAGTTGTCTACCAACAGCTAAATAGATTTCTTATAATCAACAACTCATTTGATATGTTTCAGTCTGGCTTTAGACCCCACCACAGCACTGAGACTGCTCTCGTCAAGGTTACAAACGATATCCGGCTGAACACTGACGCAGGCAAAGTCTCAATCTTAATCCTGTTAGATCTAAGTGCTGCCTTTGACACTGTCGACCATGAGATCCTCTTACAGAGACTAGAGGACTGGGTTGGCGTCGCTGGCACCGCCCTAAGTTGGTTTAGGTCTTACCTTGAAGACAGGAAGTACTTTGTGGAGATTGGAAACTGTGTCTCAGATCATATGGCCCTGACCTGTGGAGTACCACAGGGGTCGATCCTGGGACCTCTTCTGTTCAATCTCTACATGCTGCCGTTAGGTCAGTTAATACGCAGAAACAAAGTGTCCTATCACAACTATGCAGACGACACTCAGATCTATGTCTCACTGACTGCAGGAGAACATGGACCAGTGGACCTACTCCTTCACTGTATCCAACAGATCAGTGAGTGGATGCAAAACAACTTCCTTCAGCTAAACGCAGACAAAACTGAAATGATTGTCTTTGGTCCCCAGAAACAAAGAGAGAGCGTCATCTGTCATCTACAGTCTCTCTCCCTAAAACCTTCAAACAAGGTCAAACATCTAGGGGTAATACTGGACTTAGACTTAAATTTTAATAGCCACATCAAATCAGTAACATCAGCAGCTTTTTACCATCTAAAAAACATTGCCAGGATCAAAAACATAGTGTCTAAAGCAGACTTGGAGATTCTTATCCATGCATTTGTCTCCAGTAGGTTAGACTACTGCAATGGCCTGCTCACAGGTCTGTCCAAACAGGCTGTAAAACAGCTGCAGTACATTCAAAATGCAGCAGCTCGAGTCCTGACTAGAACCAGGAAGTACGACCATATTAGTCCGGTCCTCAGGTCCCTGCACTGGCTTCCTGTGGCTCAGAGAATAGACTTTAAAACAGCTCTGCTTGTGTACAAGTCTCTCCATGGCCTCGCACCAAAATATATTAGTGACATGTTAGTCCCATATGAACCAGCCCGGACTCTGAGGAGCACAGGGACTGGACTCCTGTTAGTGCCCAGAGTCAGAACTAAACATGGGGAGGCTGCTTTTCAGATTCATGCTGCTAAAATCTGGAACAATCTTCCTGAAGATGTGAGACAGGCCTCATCTCTGACAATGTTTAAAACCAGGTTAAAGACAGTTCTGTTTAGCTGTGCATACAACTGAGGGATTTTATATTTTTATCTTTCTTTTAATGTTCTGTGATTATTTATGATTTTAATGCTTTCTTGTTTTGTTCAGCACTTTGAGTTGCCTTGTGTATGAATTGGGCTATACAAATAAACTTGCCTTGCCTTGCCTATTATTTTATTATATAAGAACGTTCCTGTGTTTCTCATTAACTAAGAAGATGTACCGTACTTTCTGGTCTATACATAAAGCCGCACCTCCATTAGCAAAGAAAATCCACTTTTATACATTGAAAAAAGTAAAATCTTGGTAAGATTACTTAAAATAAATACAAGTTTTATTTGCTTGATTCTAGTTTTAAGACAACTAGACAAAAAAGTCTGAGCAGAGAGTTTTAATTAGAGAGTAATAATTAAATAATACTTGAAATGTATGTTTTTAAACTAGAATCAAGTCATTTGGGGTTAGCATTATTCAGAAATGTTGTCAAGTCATATTTTTTGTTCTATTTGCAAGTGTCTTATATTGTACGCAGTATTTTACTTTTTTAAAGTAGTTTCTTAATTTTTTCAAAGGATTTTTTTTCCAGAGTATAAATGTAAGTTTTCCAATCACTTAAAGACAGAAAAAAAACGGCATGATATGATTCTTTGACATTGTCTTGATCATTTTAGAATAGTTAATTACTAAAATAAATAAGAAAGTCCCTCTAATCAGATATATCCCTATAAACTCTAGAGCTTTCAATTCAAAAAGCGATTCTCTCCGTTCTCTCTCTCTATTTATCAGTGTTTCCTTGACGGCCTAAACTGTAGCTGGATTCTGTGTTTCTGTCCAATAAAAACCTTGGGATAGTTTTAAGTGGTGAGTGACATTTTGTGGCTTTAGTTTCACAAATAAATCTTGGTCAAAATGCTCCCTGAATAATCAAGTGATGGGACCACATTTCTTCCAGTTTTCTGGTCTGTCATCTCTACATTGTCCAAATTCAAAATTCAATATGTTTGTAATGGGAATTTAGGAATGACTTTTGCAACAGTATGTTTTTATCTTGCAGTTGGTGCCTCATTTCCACCGCTGTGCCCATGTCTTCCTGCTGTACAACATGTCCTCCACCTCCTCTCTGTGTGCTGTAATAAAGTCTCAGGAAAGTGCTAAATGAGATTCGGAGGCCTCCAGGGGGGATTCTGTCTGGGATCCGAGTCCGGACGCTGCGTGTGAGAGATGAGAATAAAAACTGGGAAAAGGAGTGGGAACTGAAGCAGAAAGAGGTGCACCTGAGCTCTTTAAAAGAAAAGCTTGTCAATATGTGGCAAATGTAAAGGATTATTAAGCGAGTGGCCAAAGCCAGTTCATTTACAGTCATCAGCAAAGTTGGTCACATTTAATCACTTTT